GTCTGTCTCCTTATTATCTTCTGGTTTTTTATCTACTAGAAATTTTGTAAGAGAACATAATGCAAATTTGAATTGCCTGCGCTTATCAAATTCTTTTTCAAGTAAATCCCAAAATGGCTTTCTTTGACTCTAGCATTTTTCTTATATCACTTCCATTATTTGGATTAAATCTGGGGACTTTTGCATTATGTACTGCTACAGCTTGTCTTTTTAATGTGGGGCCTAAATTTTGCTCTATAAATATTATATTCTCTCCATTTTCTTCTGTAATATTACTTAGATGTTGAAATTCATCATTTAGTAAATTTAGCCTTGCTAGCTCCTCTATTTCAGACTGTTTATCTAAAGATTTAGCATTTTGTTCTTCTGGAGTACCACTAAATGCATTTGGATCAATTTGCATTAAATCATTATAAAGATGTTTACATTTGGCTAAAGTTTTTGGCTGGTCATAATCTTGATAAGTTATTATTTTATATCTTTTTCATAATCTTGAACTCCATTGTTTGACTGTTTCATTAGGTTTTCTAGCATTATTATCAACTATTGCTGAATGCTTGTCATTTGAATTTATTTCAAGAAATAGGTTTTGCTCTTGATCCAGTTGTAAGTTTCTAAGAGGGCATGGATTCTTTCTATTTAGATGTTGTTGAAGTTTTTGCAGAGTTGAGCATGTATAGCCACAATGCTCACAAACTGTGCTTTTTTTATCACTTCCAATTTTTTTAACCATGGTTTAATAAATCTAACTGCAACATTCTTTTTTTATATATATGTGTATATATTTGTTCAATTTAAAAATTTTATTTGTTAAATATTTAGTTAGTGTTAATTTTTATTAAACATATAAAAAATATATGATTATCTGTATAGCCTTTTTACAAAATGATAGCAGAATATACATGTAATTATCTTCATAATTCTGGAGAAACTTGCAATAATCCTTGCATTAGGCCTGAAGGTTGTCAACATCATTATAAAAGTAAAAAACATATTCCTTGTACTGATTGTGGAAAGCCTACTGGGTCTGCTTGTGGATGATGTGCTTTACATAAATGTGGATTTTATATGATTAGATATGTTAACAAATTGCATGAGAAAGCTTATTTAGTTTAGGAAAATTTTGGTTAGATTTAGTGCATTATAAATTTTGTTTATTAGGAATTTGCTCTGAGCCGTTTTTTTCCATTTTTTTCCAAGGACAATTTTTTTGCAAAAATGCTTTTGAAGCTATTTCTGGTATGTAAAAAAAAGATAACAGCCATTTTTGCTTAGATTATGAGACACTATTAAAAATGCTTTAGGGCATAAAAAACCTATTAATTTTATGAAAAATTTTTTGGTTAGATTTTTTGGTTAGGTTTCTAGAGGAAGCAAAAACGGCTTAAAGATAATAGGATAAATAAGGATTCTATAGCCTCCCGTAGGCTGTTTTCCAATAATAATAAGAAATCATTTTTTATACCCAAAACCCGATTAAAAGTACAATGAAAATGTAACAGTAAACCAATCGTAATTCAAGGTACGCGGAAAATGAAAAGGAATCGTTTTTTAGTTAGATTTATTTTAAGCTAAAAAATATGTATAGCAGAATCGTTTAAAACCACCCAACAATACCACGGGGGCTTGTCCCAAAACCCCCAAAGTGCCATTGTGTCCCACTCATTCGCAAGAGTTATTATTTTTTAAAGGTATTTTCTCAGTAACCTACAAAATACATGTTGGTTTTTTTGG